TAGAGGTCCTAGCACGCCATTTCTCGACCCGCTCTTTCGTTTGAGGTCACATTGGGTACCATTATGGCAGGTTTGGAAAAAATTCAATTGAAAAATTTTGTGAATTCGGAAAAAATTTAATTATACAAAATTGGGCTTTCTTTTTTTGTATGAGAGTTTTTGGTTTTTTTTTAGGATGAGTCGACTGGAGATGGCGATGGGGGGCAGTACCACGCCGTGGAGTTGACTCGAGGTACTCGGGGATTTGGATTTAGTATTCGAGGGGGAAGGGAGTTCCAAAACATGCCACTTTTCGTTCTGCAAATTGCGGAGAATGGACCAGCAGCTATTGATAATCGATTGAGGGTGAGAGATGTTCTGGCATAGCCCAATTTATAATACAAAATTCTAATCAATTTTTGCATTAATTAATTGATATTAATTATTCAATAACACGCAATTAATAATGTAAAATCAATAAAATGTACTTAGTAATGTAAAATTAATATTAATTAATTAATTACAAAATATCAAAAAATAATTTTCGTCAATAATTCAATTCTCTACGAAAAATATCTTTCGAAATTGTTGTCGACTGCTAAAAAATAAATAAAAATAGGTAAAAATACATTTATTCTGCCCAGGTGGGGGATCAAATAATCGAGATAAACGGAATAAACACAAAGAACATGACACACGCGGAGGCAATCGAGATAATTCGAAACGGTGGTCCATCGGTTCGACTATTGGTTCGTCGTGGATGCCAAATGCCAAGTGCGGTAGGTGCCCCACCTCATCTATACGACATGAACATATAAACCCAGAGTAAATCGAAAAAAAAAACAATCATGAATCATAATTACTGTAACAATTTAACCGCCTCACGTATTGTCAGCACTAACCCACCATACTACGATAATTAACGATTATTCTAATGCGCTGTTAATGAGCTTTAGGACATGAAAGAAAAAAATCACAAAGCATTTCACATGTTTCATAAGCCCACACACGACGAAACAATCAAGCAATTCCCAAAAATAAGTAAGATAACGTTTTTAATTGAACTTGTGCATTAAATTGCGAGAGAATCATTCGTTTTAATCCTGAGGATAATTAATTACTGTGTTAATTAAACACCGAGCTTGGCCTTAATCAAGATGAGAACTTAATATGACACGTTAGTATATATTTTTACGTACGAAACGTTCGATCCGTGTAATGTGATCTTCACTCGAAGAACTTTATTCACAGAATTGCTGAGACAATGGATAACTCAAGTCGTAAAATCGACACAATGAGAAAATATTAATAACGCCGAATGCGCTAAGAATGTCCAGGACGAATGAATTTATTGACTGGTGCTAACGACTCACATTAATGTCTCAATAAATAATTAAAATTTCAATCATGGTAATCATGTGTGATTGTTTGGAGGGGGAAAAAGTGCCTTGCACGTGTTCTCACGCAAAAATGTCTTCTGTATCTCATTTTTAAATTGCTCTGACGAAATTATTTCATTGATTGACGTTTATTGTAGCATTATATTGACCGTATAAGTGTTCAGACGATTGACGAGGGCACCGTGCGCACGAATAATAGTGAAATAATTGATGGAAAATTAAAGAGCAAAAGAAAATCATCGATTACACTGTGCTGCTGCTCCTGGAGAAAACGATGATGATTCTGATGTAGCATTGGTTGATGCTTTTTGTTGGTAATTAAGGTGAATTGTGCCTGTGGATAGCATAAGTATTCAAGTATTCAAGTGGAGGAAAACACGTGTGAAAGAAATTTAGGAGAATTTCTCTTCAAGTTTTATTGGAATTCTATTGAAAAATATAATTGTTTCTTGCGACATTTTTTTAGGACATTAGTCAACTTTAATGTAGAATTTTTGAAAGGAAATCCAAGTACTTTGGCTATTTTTTCTCCAATTAAATGTTTTTGTACTTTTTTGATTTTATTGTTTAAACTTTGCAAGTCTGAATTTGAATCTCGATATTGAACCGTTAGAAAACATTTTAAAAATCTGAAAAAAATAGAAAGTTTGCTTTTGGAAGATTGATGAAATAATTAAAAAATTGCAATTTTTTAATACTTTATAAACAATCAATTTTCAACCAAAAAAATAATTTATTTATAAACAACGAATGCTTCATATTCTGCGTAAAATGTAATTTGAATGGCACTTGGATATTCTCAATTTTTCCACAGAATTTCGTGGGCATAAATTTTCCCTTTTTTCCGCTGTATTTTTATTTTTTTCTCATAACAAAATCCAAGAAAAAAATTTCACGCGCGACGATGTAGAATCTCTTCTGTGAATCTCTCGAAAATGAATTGTGAATAGGAAATAAGAATTAACGCGAAACGTCGGGTTAATTGATGTAGCAAAGACTGCACTCGAATAACAGTTTCACGAGAATTTTTTGATACATTTAATTGCTAGAATTTCAGCGGAATTGTTGAACGTTCGCATTATTATTAATGAACTTTTATACATATTTTAATCGATACTCAAGTGCTTTATACACGAGATTTTCCACTGATGATTATTACCGACGAATGAGCAATTGGTTGGACATATGAAATTCCGATTAATCAGGGACTAATGAAAATTATCACTTGACGAATGATATCCAGCCGACCAAAGAGAAATTTGTTCGTCTGTCGACAATTACTCAACCGAGCATTGTTATTTTGTAATTAATTTTGTATTTAAATATTTACTCCTTCACATCTGATGGAAGAGGGGCCGGAAGTATAAGAAATAGAGGATAATTTTACAATTTGTAATGTGTAAATGTGTTGACTAATATATATTTTTATATCTACAAATCAGGGTAAATCGAGGGAAATGTCTGGTTGAATTTATCACTCCGACTATTCATTTTATTCCACTTCGTGTCGACCAAGTACATGTGAAATATTTTCAGTAATTATTTTTCGCCTGTTTGTAGTGAACACGTAGGTATGATTTTTTAATCACACTGTGCTCAGTTCAATGCACATGTCCAGACACTGGACGGAGTGATTAGAGTAGATTATTCTTGCCGCGTCTTCCACGTGTGGATTCGATCACTGACTGCGTATGATTAGTTATTTGTATCGGCTGATTAAGCGTTTTAAACCTTTGGATACTGAGTTGAGTGACGTTTTGTAGAATTATTGGTAGTGAATTGTACAGATTTTTTTCATTTACAGGGAAAAATCGGAGAGTAGAGGATCTGTAAGAGTGATTATGGAATAATGCGATACGAGATTATTGTTGTTGAATTATATTGAAACAATAAAATATTTGACATGAGTTGGGGCTGTTTATTAGGGGGGATTTGAGGAATAATTTACGTTTTTGTTGTTTGGAGAAATGATTCCTTTCTGAGATAAATTGATAATTAACAAAAAAGTTGAATTCGATTTTATCGAATTCAACTTGAATGGGGTAAAATGGACACTTTAGACTTTTGTTTTATTGACTCATAACTGAGAAACAAATTTATCAATTGAGCTCAGTTTCGGCTCATCACAAAGAGAAATAATTGTTCTTTGCAATGAAAAAAAAAATTATTAAATTTTATCAACATTTCAACCCGTTATTAACATTTTTTAAAAAAGCCAAAAGTGTCCATTTTACCCCAACCTCCCCAATAAATATTTAAATGAGCAATAAATATTAAATATTTATATGAGCAATATGAGATCTATCAACCACTTTTTTGGAAAGTATTATTATCGGACGACAACGGCCACATACCCTTGATCCTACACTGAGAAAAAATTACCTCTGCCGAAAATATATTTATTCCGCTCAAAAATATCGAGATAACTTCGTCTAATAATATAAGGCACATGGAGTTAACGTATAGTTTGATGTAAATAGAAAATAATTTGTCGCCTCAAAATCTGTGTTTTTTTCACGTACACAAGTCAAGCGGAAACGTACTACACTATTCCGCTGATTACAAAAAAGCTTCGTAAAAGGTTTTGAAATTTTCTGTGGATCAGAGGTTTGATCTTCTCAAACTTATCCGTTTGTGACCTCAGAACTGGACTTTGATTTCTCACTCAATAACTATCAATGGCGGGGAAACAAATGAGTAATATTGGAAATAATAGAGAAAGTGCAGTAGAGATTATACAGTCGTATTTTTCCTGAAAGAATGGTTCTTCTGTTAGCTCAAACTTCTGCTTCGGGGAAAATTTTTTGGTTTCCAGTCAAACAGATTATTATTTATCACGATATTTGAATCCTGGCATTCTACTCGAAAGAATATGTATTCATATGCCACTGTCAGATTTTCAAGTGGAAAGATAGTTATTTTCATCACAAGGTCCACAAAGTATTTTCTGACGAATGTGGCTTTATTGGCCGAGCCGAAGGCGAGGCCTATAATCAGATTCGTCAGAAAATACTTTGTGAACCTTGTGATGAATGCAATTTTTCGTCAGATGGCCCGAGCGAAGCGAGGTTAGAATCGCGGTTTACCAGGCCTGGTGACGAAAATAAATTTTCCGCTGCAGAATATTTTATAATCTCTGATATTTTCTCGTGGGGAATAATAATCTTGAGACAAGAAAATTTTGTGCAGGTGAACATTCATCTTTTCTCCAGAGCTAATTTTTCCTCTCAGTGTATTAATTCTCATAATTTTCTCAAACTCCAAACTCTACCTACCAATCGGAATTTAACGGGCAAAGACAGAAACATCATTACCGCCGATTAATTTTTTACCACCCAGTCGGAAACAATCGGACTGTTTTACCAGGGAACCGCTCCCGAAAGCCCCGGACCAATTCAAATCTCCCGCCCGCCCGACACGTCGCTCCAGTCGCCCCCCACCCGCGAAACACTGCATTTCCAAGAATGCGGTGCTCAACGTCGTTGCGTGACGTCAACCTGCGTCAAAACTCCGCGAGTGAACTCCCGAGGAGGCCACGAGCCCCCGAAATCTCCCCGAAAGAGTGATAAAAAGCCTCCCCCGTCCAATCCGCGCACACGCCCCGAAAATCCCCCGAATAAAATCATTTCCCCTCGAGCCTCCGCGAATTCTCCGTAAAAATGGACACCAGAGGAGTTGGCAGCTCTGTCGATTGATTGGTGAGGAGCCAGGCTGAGGGGCCAAGTTATTTCCCACCGTCCGTGGGCATCAGGTACAGGTACACCCCCATATTAACAGACCACCAGTCCTACAACACCCGCTAATCAGTGTCACAACCGTAACCCCAATGCCCCGTCCAACGTGACATGCCCAATTGTCCGTTGACTCTCTCTCCCCCCCGCCGGACCCCCCAATCCTCCATTACCACTGAAAGGCCCCAGTGTCACCTCCCAAAGTGCTAAAACCCCCCGAGAAAAACACGACAAACTGAGAAAAATCCCGTGCACTGCGTCGCAAGTCCCAACTTTTAACCCAACTCCGTGTGTATGTGACACGTGTCTGTGTGAGTTTTGTGTTCGTCATGTCGTAGTGGGACTGCGGCCTAGAATTCATGGAAGTGCAATGTGAGATGAGCTGTGGAAATTCAACGTTCTCTCGGTGAGGGTAAGTCCATAAAAATTATTATCCCCCCGGAATTTCACCGAAATCCCCTCGATCTTTGTCTGCCTCACCGAAAAATCCGGAGGCCCCAGAGGAACCAGAAATAATAAAAATGGTGGGTGCTAAGTGGCCTGAGGTGTTTGTGGCCTGTGTGCAGGCCTCGAGAGAGCGTTTTCACCGTTTCTCGGAAAAAATATTCCCACCCATTCGACCAACAACTGATTTTTCTCGGTAAATCGGGCATGGATGGGGCGCCATAGCAAGACTTGTATTTTTCTCGTGCTGTAAGAAACTTTATGTTTTCATACGGATTGTGGATGTGCACGGGTTATCATTGGGACTAGTCGGGAATTTTTAATGCCAGGGTATTGGTGAGGGGGATTTATACGACTTTGTAACTATCGTGCGACTGTGTGAGGGGGGGGGAGGCGTGCATGTACGCGGGATTCACACATTCTTACGCATCAGACGCAAGCGAGGAAGATGTTTATCTCCGTTTTCACGACTTGTACGAGTGAACGGGTGGGTAGTTCG